ATATATATATATATATATATATATATATATATATATATATATGTATATAATGACAGAGAGACAGAAACAGATACAATGCAGCTAATAGCAACAACTGTTGGGCTAGTCCTTAGAGTTGCATGCAAAGGGAGTTTATTCTCCGTCTTCTGCAGCGCATGCATATCCATTGTTGTTCGATTAATTAGTCGCTGCATGCGCCTGCATAGACACCAGTGTGTGCATGCATGCATGTATATATGCATGCATGCATGTATATATGCATGCATGCATGTATATATGCATGCATGCGTTCATATGCGTGCGTATATGCATGCATGCATGCATGCATGCGTCAACAACCTGTCTCTCTATCTCTTTTCTTTCGTGGTGGAGAAGCAGAGAACAGACAATTGTTTAATTGAATATATCTTAAGATATATTCAATGAAGAGAGACACATCTCTATGGGTTGTCATATCTACATTTGTTTTGTTTTACATCTCCCTATTTGCTTGTTGCTGTTGCTAGCTGTTGAACTCTACCGCTGTCTTCAGCTTCTATGCAGTTTTTACTACTAAACAATCTACTACACCAGTGATCATGCATGCGTGCATGCATGCAAGCATGCAATGGAAGGGGGTTGTTGCTGTGTTTAATTCAATTTACGTGTGGAGTAAATAAACGGCTTCGCTTCAACAGCAGGCTGTAGGGGTTTGTGTGCGTGTGCGTGTGTGCGGGGTATACAGCTGGGAAAACCGATAAATATAATTTATATTTGTATTATTAATCACAAATATTATTTTGCACTTATTATAACGTACACTGACAATGAGATAGATATGCTTACGACTGCTCGCTGTATGCATAAGAAGAGGAGAAGCTTTCATTTAGATATATAAATATACACATATATAGACAGGCAAGGGAAAAATGTGTCTCAGCCACTGTTATATATTAAAACGAACTCAAACAAATGAATTATATATATTGCAATGTATATAAAATTCAAAAAAAGAAGAGAAAACTTGCAACTCTTCTCTGCCTCGTGTGTTGAAGTGCGCCGAGTGTTATGTACAACTCAGCATTTTTGTCTACGGCTGCGGTTTTCTACGAGGAATTGCCCTAAAAAATTGCAAAAAAAGGAGGAAAATATATTAAAAATCAAACCCTTTTTAATTATGAAATCAATTAAACTATATTTTTAATCATTTTCCACTGTCATGACAGCAAAAGGAGTTGCAGTGCAGTGTAGCGGCTATCGGTGAGGCGGGTTTTACACTGCAGCTGATTGCATTTGAAGCCTCATTCTTGTTTGTTTTTTCTGGAAAAAACGTGTTAATTTAGATTACATTTATGTTTAAAACCCCTACAACAAGTGCTAAACTACAGAGACCAAGTGTTCAAAGGAAGAAATCCAGCTTTCTATAGCGTATGCTCACATTCAGCTGCAAAGCCGCCAGCTGTGGGGGCTGCTCTAGAGCCCCAATTCCCTCTTCTTTTCTGTTTTTCTTCTCTTCTTTCTTCTCTGCATGCAGCAGTTTCAACAGCTGTCTCAGCCTTCCTTAACTGGGAGCTAAGCTGTTAAACCTGGAACAACCCTGCCCTCATTCAACACACCGATTAACACCAACAAGCTGCATGCGGGTTGTTCTGCTGCTCTTTACTGCCTCTTGAAACCCTCTTCTACGCCTTCTTAGCTGCCCCTTCTTCGCAGCTTTCTGCTGCCTCTCTGCCACTGTCTATTCTAAATATTCAATTTTCAGCAGCGCAGTGTACAGACACCTCAGCCACAGTGCATAGAGAAGGAATAAATAAACAAACGAAAGGGGAAGAGGAGAAGAAGACACACAGCGAGACTACTCTAGAGAAGCAGCAGATGCAACATCTTCTGTGCGGTATCAGCCAGCTACCCTACAACGAACTTGCCCCAAGCAGCGACAGCAGCAGCAGCAGCAGCAGCAACAGCACCGAAAACTGACGGAAGAGCACATCGAAGCAGCTCTGTGGCGGTGGGTATATTAACGCTTGCCATTCCTTTTGCTTGTGCTGCTGTTGTCAGTGCTGCTGCTGCTGCTGCTGCTTCTGTTGCTGCTGTTGCTGCTGCCGGGAGCCCCCTGGCTGGGGCCTCATGCAGTCGCACACCGACTGCGCAGGTGTCAACAGAGAGGGCCCCCGCAACCCCCTAGTCTCCTTTCAGCAGCAGCTTCCCTCTCCACTCGGCCCCACACCGCAGCAGCAGCAACAGCAATTGCTGCTGCTGCTGCAGCAGCAACAGCAGCAACACCTTGCTTCCTGCGGCACCCCTTTTAGGGCCACCCCTACCTTTGCTGCCCTTGCGCCTGGAGTTGCTACGTTACCTCTACAAATCCAGCAGCAGCAGCAGCAGCAGCAACTGCAGCAGCAACTACAACAATTACAGCAGCGCCAAGCGCAGCAACTGCAACAGCAGCAACTGCAGCAGCAGCATCTGCAGCAGCAGCAACTGCAGCAGCATCAACTGCAGCAGCATCAACTGCAGCAGCAGCAACTGCAGCAGCAGCAACTGCAGCAGCAGCAACTGCAGCAGCAGCAACTGCAACAGCAGCAACTGCAGCAGCAGCAACTGCAGCAGCAGCAACTGCAGCAGCAGCACTACCAACTGCAGCAGCCATTGCATCAACAGCAGCAGCTGCAGCAGCAGCAGCCATTTCAGCAGCAGAGGCAGGAAGTGCAGCAACCAGTGGACCCACTGCAGCAGCAGGAGCAGGTGCCATTGCTGCAGCAGCAGCAGGTGCCATTGCAGCAGCAGCAGCAGCTGCAGCAGCAACTGCAGCAGCAGCAGCAAGTGCAGCAGCAGCCCCAACGTCTGCTTCAACCTTCTATCGCTGCCTCCAGTTGCGAGGCCCCCACAGGATGTCAGGGGCCCCCGAACCCACAGATGGGGGCCCCAGGGGCCCCTGCCGGGGCCCCATTGGCCCCCTGTGGGGCCCCTGTGCAGAGGGTAAGAGAAGAGACGGCTGCAGCAGCCCTCTCATCTGCCTTAGAAACAACTACAGCCGCTGAACCAAGCAGCAGCAGCAGCAGCAGCAGCAGCTGTAGCAGCAGCAGCAGCAGCGTCGGGGAGACCCAGGCTCAAGCTGCTGGGGCCCCGCAGGGCCCCCTTATTTCACAGCGAATGGCAGCGCAGCTGAATCCCTTTGACAAGCCTCCTGCTTCAGCAGCAGCTGCTCCTGCTGCTGCTGCTCCTGCTTCTGCAGTTCCCGCTGCAGCAGCAGCAGAGGAGGGCCCCCTCCCCAGTACGGATCCCACTCATTGTGGAGCGCTGCCTTTTGCTGCCGGGCAGCAACAGCAGCAGCAGCAGCAGCAAAACAGGCAGTCGTTGCTGCAGCAGTTGCATCAGAATGAGCAGATGCAGCAGCAGATATTGCGAAGTCTGCAGCAGCAACAGCAGCAGCAGCAGCGGTGGAGGCATCTCCTAGAAGCTTGTCAAGAGGGGCCTGCAGCAGTTGGGGGCCCACCATTAACCCTCCCCTCTCCTGCGATCCCCTCTTTGCTTCCTGCTGCTGCATCGCAGCAGCACCAGCAGCAGCAGCAGCAGCAGCAGTTCGCCTTGCAGCAAGGATGGGCGGCACCTCCAGCACGCGACACAGTGGGGGCCCCCTGGGCCCCTCCCACCAGCAGCAGTCTTCCGGCTGCTGCTGCAGCCGTTTCGGGTGTATGGACACCAGAGGAGGGCCCCAGCAGGTTGTGGGGTGGTGCGTCAGCACCCTTCCATCAGCTGACGGTGCCGGGTACCTCCCCTGTGGGGCCCCCGGCGGCAGCAGCAACAGCAACAGCAACAGCAACAGCAACAGCCTCAGGGTCGCTGAGTGTGAAAAGTGAGAACATCAACACCGGAGGTACAGGAGTTGTTTCTGCTTCTGCTGCTTCAGCAGGAGCAGCAGCAGCTTCAGCAGCAACAGCAGCAGCAGCAGCAGCAGGAGAGGGTTTCTGCGGTGAGGGTGACACTGCAGCTTCTGCTGCTGCGCCCCCATATACAAAGGGGGGCCCCCGCCGCCGTGGCGGCCGTCGAGTTTGTGGGCGAAGGGGGGCCCCCCAGGTGTACCCTAAAGAAGGAAGGGGGCCCCCCTTCAGCAGCAGCAGGAGCCCCCCTGTTGCTCGCGGTGCTGCATGCACAGTGCTGGGGTTTGGGGCTGCTATGCCGCAGCAGCAGCAACTCACGAAGGTGCGGAGATTATTTGAGGGGTTTTTATATCATTGCTTATTTCTTTACCTTTTTCTGCTTATCTTTCCTTGCCTTTCTTTGTTTTGTATTTGCTTGTTTACATTTGTTTGTTTATATATTTTTGTTTATCTTTGTTTACTTTTTTTTATTGCCGTCTGCTCATCGCTGCATTTGTTTGTCATTAAATTTATTTAGTTTTGTTTGTTATCTTCAATAAATAAATTCACATCGTCTGTTGCAGTGTGCTGCAGCAAATAGCAAATACAAATGCAACGGCTGCTGCTGCTGCACATGCTGCTACTGCTGCACGTGCTGCTACTGCTACTACACATATACGTTGCTGCTGCATCTGCTGCTGCTTCCCTGGCTGCATCTGCTGCTGCTGCATCTGCTGCTGCTGTATGTGCTGCTGCTGCATGTTTTATTGCTGCAGGTCCCTTCAGTAGGGTTATTGAATTTGGGTGGCGGGAGTTGTTTTTTAAATGTCGTGTTGCAGTACTTAGCTCATGTGCAGCCATTGAGGGATTTTTACCTCAATTACTGTAAGCGGAGTATATCTTAATAATAATTAAGTCTTATTGTTGTTGGTTTAATAGTAGGTAGTAGTAATAATCGTTATTTTTACAATAAATAATAATAGATATAACACTTGTAATTATAATAAATAATAATTATAAGAATAGTAATAGGAATAACAGTAATAGTAATAACAGATAAGAATAATAATTGATAATAATAGTAATAATAATATTAGTTATAATAATAATGGATACTAGCAATGAGAAAACAGTAATAAAAATAAATTTTAATAATAAATGTTATAATAGTAAATAATAATTATAAGACTAAACTAATTTCGGCAATGATGACTATAATAGGAATAGCGAGAGCAATAGTAATACATCACATAATATAATAATAATAACAGTTCTACTAATAGTTAATACATAATAATAATGACAATTCTACTGATGCTAGTATTTAATAATAATATTATTATTATGCAAATGAACGATAATAGTTTTAATGTTGTTTTTTATAAATGCCTATGACGCGCAGCAGCAAAACCCCCCCACCAAGCCCTAAACCCTAAACCCTAAACCCTAAGCAATGCTGCCCTGTGCTGCACCCGCCTCAGTTCAACAGCATATTCTTATCCTTGTCCTGCAAAATGAGAATTTTGAGTTGCTGCAGCAGCAGCACAGCAACGAGCGATGTTTATAGTGATACAAGTAGCTTGCAGATTACTTCAATGTAGTTGTGAATTAAAGAAAACATTTTATTGTATTATTTATGTCTTTCTGCGGTGTATGCACAGCTAAAATGTTACCGCCTTCAGATCTACTGGGGAGGCAGTATGAAGCCTATACGACTTACCTTGGTATATACCCACTGCATGCATCTACTATTGTTTTGTCTACCTACATAAGTATATATATATATATATATATGTATATACATGTATACTTTTATTTAAGTCTTATATTTGTGTTGATATTTATCTTTATATTTATATATGTTCTTATATATATAAATAATAGGCTGAACATTATTCGCTGTGCTCCAATAATAGCATACGATAATCTGTCCACAGCAACAGCAACAGCAACAGCAGCAGCAGCAGCAACGGTAGTATTGCAACAACAGGCCAATAGCACCATCAAAGCAGCAGCAAGAAAGCAACAGCAAAACAACACACCACAAAACAGCAGCAACGAAACAATACCAACCACGCGTTTACTGTATTTTGTTTGTCTTTGTTGCTGCAGAGGCCTCGCGGCAGCACTTTAAACGCTTAAAACGAGGCCCCCACCATCTCATTCATACTCCTACTTACACCACCTCTGTTACATGGGAGCTTGCGGTTGTTATCAAGTGCGTTGATAGAATTAAAGGGCTTCGGGTTTATTTCATGCAAGGATGGTTGGCATATCTGCGGTGTCTGTACACCTCAGTTTTGTGCTTTGTTCGGATGATGCTCGCTCAGCTGAGCTGGGGACAGTACAGGGGGCCACCCTCTAGGGTCTAGGGTTTAGGGTCTAGGGACTAGGGTCTAGGGTTTAGGGTTTGGGGCTGCCTGTGCGTTTGCTGCCAGCCACATGTGGAGGTCCCCCAGCACTGTTCGCTTTATAAAGCCCGAGGCGCTGTACCAAGTGTGTTGCAGAATAATGCCAGACTTCGGTAAATCCTTTACTTACTTACATGCATGCATGCATGCATGTATATAAATGCATGCATGCATGCAGGTGTCCGGGTGTCGGTTCTTGTTGGTCGTTGGGGCTCTTTTCGCGTCGTTTCAGGGTTTAGGGTTTAGGGTGTAGGGTTAACCAACAACATTTGCAGTGCTTGTCTGCACCAGACGTATATATATGCATATATATAGGTATATATTTCTCTATGTGTGCATTACATTGTGTCATCCTATTATGTTATATTATTCATATGGATTTAGGTTGTATATATAAAATACAACATATCAATAATGTTGTACTATTAACATATTATGAGCATGTGAATAAAATTATGTTGTATATTGTACTCTATTGTATTCTATTATCTAGATCTTATATATATATATATATATAAATGTATATTGGGGTGTATGTATGCGCATGCAGACCCTCGGGAGATGCAGGACAGCGACGAGTTTTTGCGGCTTTTGTTGGATTTCCTCGACGGCGAGTTGCGTGCAGTGGCTACAGGTGTTCCTCTTCAAGAGGCATTGATGCTACAGGCGATGCCTAGGCGTCTAGATAAGCGGACCCTCAGCAACAGCAGCAGCAGCAGTAGCAGCAGTAGCAGCAGTAGCAGCACCACAGGGGCCTGCTGGAGGCCCGCTCCATGGGGCCCCAAGAAAACACCAGCAGCATCAGAACGGATAGATGAGGCAGCAGCTTCCTCAGCAGACGCATGCAAGCAGCGGGAAGGAGGTGCTGCAGGATTTCATGATGCAGAAGGCCCGGCAGCAGCAACAGCAGCAGCACTGCAGGTGTACCCCGGCCCATACGAAGAGGCAGCGCAGAACGAATGGAGCAAAGGGAACCCCCCATCCGCAGCTGCAACAGCAGCAGCAGCAGCAACAGCAGCAGCAGGGGGAGGGGGGGCGGAACAAGGAGAAGACCCACCTGGTTGTGGAGAGTTGCCTACTCTATTTTCTGTTTTCTTTGAAGGTGTGACTTTTGGGGTGTCTGTTCAGCCCATTGATGCCGCGAAGTGGCGGCACTGGCTGAGACATATCGACACTTCTTTTTATTTATGATGTGTAATGAATGATGCATTGCAGGCGCAGAAGTTGATAAAGTACGATGCACTAAATGCGGCAGGTGTACGTCCACCTTAGTGCCGTTCAAGAGTTTGGCAGTGGCTATGACGAGAGAAGCTCAAGAAGAGTCTTGTTATCATGCGAGTTCGTTCTAAACCCTAAACCCTAATTCTTGAAGCATGGCGATACTGCAGTGGAAACCCTAAACCCTCGGCCTACCTCGCAGCAGCGACCACACGGCCTCTGGCATCGCAAGAAATTTACTCTAAACCCTAAAACCTTCAAGCTTAAGAACCCAATATTATATATATATAGGGTTTAGGGTTTTAGGGTTTAGCGTTGTAGTGCTAGGAGAAGGGCGGTACGGCAGGTTCAACTTCTCAGGGCCAAGGGTTTAGGGTTTAGGGTTTAGGGTTTTGGGCGGGTGTACGAGGATTTCACGGGTTTGAATTGTTGCGTTTGTGTGGGTTTGTGTGGAGGTTTGAGACTGAAGCCTTCTTCCTTTTTGAATTTGTTGTCGCCTGTGGATCTCGTGGAGTGTCTAGACAGACACTTCGCTGAAGACTGCGAGTCTCTCAAGCTCTCTTCAGGAGAAGGGTGAGCTGCTGCTGCATGCATGCGGCGGCGGCCCGCAACGTTTCTGGTTGCGTATTGCGTGTTATGTGTCCCAAATGCATTTCTATGGTTTAGGGCCCACAGAGGGGGGTCTTGAGGTGTTTAGGGGTTAGGGTTTATCAGAATGAGGGCTCGTGTAGACGATGAGGGGCTGAGGATTCAACGCTGAGTAACCGTAGCTTGAAATTCAGGGCTTGCTTCCTATGCACTCTCATATTGAGGGTTTAGGGTTCAGGGTTTAGTGTTTAGGGATTAGGGTTTGCGTGTGGGTTTAGGTATTTCTGTGAGCACTGCAACTCCAAACAGGATGCAGTAAAGAGCTGTTCACTGGTGGAGGGCCACTTGCCTTTTGTGTTGTGTTTGACGCTGAAGAGGTTTGTGAGAGGCAAACAAACCTACAAGGTAAGACAAACCCTAAACCCTAAACACTGAGCTCATGAAGGTGGTGCTGTCTGTGTTCATGAATGGCTTCCCTCTACTGGCTGTTCAGCAGCCCAGCGTTCCGTTATTAGTAGTTTGTTTCTTTTCTGCATGTTTATCCAGACCCGTTTACTGGCCTCAACGCTTTGGGGTTTTGGATTTATGCTTTAGGGTTTAGGGTTTAACACATTCGTTGCGTATTCAGATTTGGAACCCGGTACACTTCGGCGACTACCTTGACCTGTCCAGCTACGTGGAGGGCAGCAGTGCTGCTGCTCCTGCTGCTGCTCCTCCTCCTCCCGCAGCAGCAGCAGCATCGGTGGACCACTTGCCCGCGCCCACATGCGTGAGTCCTGGCAAAGAGGTGCGTAAGGTGAGGTGCGCGTACACCTCGGAGGACAGGGAAGGAGGTGCGGCTGCGCCGGTTGACGCCTCCACCGCAGTGAACGCACCGGAGAGTGCAAAGGACTCGAAAGAAGAGGAAATGGAGTCGGGACAAATAGCAATCAATGAGCGCAGCGATACGGCACAGCCATCAGATAGTGCTTCTGTTTCTGTTGCTAGCAATTCTGAAACTGACGACGCAACAGCGGCAAAAGCAGAGGATTCTAAACCCGGCTCTCCTCTAGGTGTACGTACACCTCAGGCTGTACGTACATCTCAGGGAGCCCGGGTCTCGGGATACGGCTATACACTGGCGGCGTTGGTGGAGCATGAAGGCCCTGCCACTGAACAGGGGCATTACGTCTGCTACGTAAAGCACATCGACTCAGACTGTTGGTTCAGAGCGGATGATAAAGTAGTGGAGCCCGTAGACCTGCAGCGGGTGCTCGCGGCCTCACCGTATATCCTTTTCTATCAGCGACTTGCAGGAGGAACGACCGCACAAGAAACAAAAGAAACAAAGGAAGAAGAAACAGAGAAAGCATCACCTGGGGCAGCAGCATGCAAGGACGCAAATGAGGAAGGGTGTTGTAATGAAACAAGAACAGAGGACACAGAAAAGAAGGAAAAAGCAAAAATGAAGGCTGATGCAGAAACCAATAATAATGCAATTCAGCACCCTACGTTCATCAGAGGATGTGCTAGTCTACAGCAACAGCTTGCTGTTGCGAGGAGCCTCAGCATGGGCCAGTGGCCCCAGTGGCAACACCTTATCTCCCATAATTTTAAATCTGCAAGTGCAACCAGTCGTGACAACACAGGTGGGCGCCTATTCAGCGCTCGGGTGTATTTTCAACTCATTTACTATCTGCTTAACTTAGGAAGAAGTTCTTTATCCATAGGGCTGCTGCAAATGGGTGTTCATTTGTCTATATTCATCTGCATGGATGAATGCATGCATGTTGTTGCCTCTATATTTAGATTTACGTTTTTTTGTGTTTGTTTGCTGCAGGTGTCAGGCCCGATGCTGCAGGGCTTCAGCTGAACCCTCCTGCTGCTCCTTGGTCATCAGGTTCTTAACTAAAAGGTGGAGAAATATAAAATGAAATAAAGTTGATACAGACTAAATAGATTTAGAGGAATATGATTTTTAGACGGCGATGTGCAGCGGAGTTCGTAACGCTGCGGATCAGTAGAAATACCTTATAAACGCTCTGTGCCCGTTGCGAATTCTTTTTGTATGTTTTGCATTCGTGTTGAGTCTTTTGTTTGTTTTCTAAAAGGGAAGTTCCCCCTTTCGCGTTTCAGCGTAAAACTCCCGCCAGTGTGCGGCTTTCTGTAGTTGCGTGTTTTGCAATTCAACAAAAACATTGTTGTTGTAATTGCAACATCTTATGCAGTTACACACCAGAGTTTAACTGCTGCCAGTGATGAACAACATTCCGACATGCTGCTGCCTGCTGGTAATCCCAAGGGGTTTAGATGCGTGCAGGAATAATAATATACTTTGTCCAAGCTTCTTAGAATTAGAGTGAAGAGAAGGAACATCGACGTTAAATAGGAGAGATGTATGGGGTTAGACCCGTGATAAACACAAGCATTGCAACAAAACCGTCAGCTATTTTTGTAGTTTACTGCTTTTTGTTATTTGCGTAATTATATGACTAGCCCGATGTGGTTCATGTTAAAGGTAAAAAACAAGCAAAATTCAATTCAACCATTATAATGCAGTCATAATGGTTGCAAGGCGAACGCGTTGTTGTTGAGGCCGGCCAGCTGTCGCTACGCTTGCTGCTTTCTTCTTTTTCCCCAGCCCTGCGCCGACGATGTTGATTGTATTGGGCAAGGGTGTTGCATTAAGAATGTTCCGTGAGGAAAACGACGTGAAAAATAAACGCATGAAGACACCATATAGATGATGCACACATGGAAAGCGCTTAAAGGTGAGGCAAACCTTCAAATTTCAGCCTTTTATTTGTTACTGCGGTCATTTTACTGCATTATTACGCCTCGTCTCTGTGAAGCATGTGCACAGAGTTTATTCAAACATTCAAGGCTCATGTTTTGTTATATATATTGATATATTAGCACCTGTCATGTGAAAAAGCCATTAGGTTAACTAGGTTCTGCACGAAACTATCATCATTTCATCTCGAACTCGATAGTATGGGGGTGTAGCGGTCAGGGAGATGAAATCTGCACTATTTTCCTAGCTTTCTTTCTTTGTTTGTTGAACTTTAGTGATTATTTGGAAGGCAAAAGAACTAGTTTTTGTCGCATTTCACTCCATGGTCGCTCCCCACGGTCACTCTGCCACATGCAGGCCTTCGCTCGCTTCCTCTGGTGGGGCCCTGGCAACGCAAATCACACCAGAAAATAGCAAATGAAATGAAATAAGATTAAAATAAAATTATCTGTGTTTTATGTAATGCCATATTTTGAAATCTCAGGCTGGGATTCGATATACAGCGCACTGTAGCCGGGAACAAACGCCAAGAGCCTCAATGCAACTCGCGAGCAGAATGATTGTTGCTCTCTGCGGGAAACGTCGGCAAAGATTCTTGTGTTAAATCTGTAATTTAATCTCTTTTAACTTTGTGTCTAAGCTGAGTTCCTCAACAAAATGCTAGTAGAACATGTCAGCCGCCTGGCTCTGCCGCCTGGGGTGAAACCAAGATGCGAGTTGTGCGCCCAACCCGCCGAATTTAAATGCAGAAGGTGTCCTGGTTGGTTCTGGTGAGAGGGCAGCCTTTATTAAATTAATTAAGCAAACGTTAGAAGAGATACATTCATGTTTCCTGGCGCGTTTGCCCCACAATGGTGTGATAGAGCTGGGAGCGCACAGAGGTCACCTGCCATTGTGCTTGGGTTCGACAGGTTGAAATTCGATCCATGCGCTACAAATATTTCCATATAAACGATGAATACGGCAGTGCCTTGTTTAGGCAGAGTGCATATATATATACAAATATATATAATATGTAATATATATGTGCATATATATATATATATAT